ACACACACACACACACACACACACCTGTAAAACCTAAAACGGAGAAGACCACATCTCGCCTGCTCTGTAAAGTTTGTCCCAAGCCAAGCCCTCTCCGCGCGCTGCGCAGCCCCTCTGAGGGACGCTCTTGCCAGCCTTGCACTATGCCTCGCTTAACGCGCCGCGCAGTGGGTTTCTGCGGAGCCAGGTTCACGGGAAATCTGAGGTCAGAAAACTTCTCATTTCCCTGTCTCCTCAAACTCTGGTTTCATTGACATAAACTGGACCCCAAAGACAGCGCAAGCCTGTTCCACTTTTTCTCTGGCGAATATCCAGATTGCAGATCGCCATAAGCCCCATGGCTGGTGATGTTTCCGCTGCCTTCCAATTATAAGCCGTCAGGCTTGGTCAAGGTCGCAAAGGCAGGCACAGGCAAGTGGTGCGCAGCGAGGTTCCCTAATTCTGGCTCTTTCTAAACCCAGGAATCAAGGTCTTTAGGCTTGCAAGAGGCTGGCAAATTGCAGAGATTAAATGGATCATTTCCACTCGGCGCGACCAGATTTGAAAAGCCCCCAAACTCCCCAGTAGGTCACTGCGACTCCAGGTCTGGCAGCCCAAGTATCACCTCTCTTTCCCCCAACCCCCTCCAACTCATCTTCCCAAGTCTAGGCAGCAGAGCCTCCTGTCGCCCCCCCTCCCCTAATTCTTAGGACAGCCGGGTGGGGTGGGAGGCTACTGGGAAGAGAATTCGGGCTCACTTCCTTTGTAGCTACAGCTTCAATCTAGTCCTTTGAGAGAGTGAGCCAGCCAAAGGCAGATACAACGACCTGTATTTTTAGGCAGGAACAAAAAAGACTAAGAAGAGAGAGGTCAGAATGAAGAAGTCAGTGTACAAGCTTCCCTGCAGCCAAAGAAGAAAACATTATTTGCAAACTTCCTCAGATGGTAAACAGAGACCTAAGCTGACTAAAGTCAGTGTATATCCACCTGCTTCTGTGCAGAGAATGGCAAGTGGGTAGTGGGAAAGAGTGCCATCCCCAGGCAGTGGACTCTTCCACCGACCAAATGCCTGATCAGGCCGTTGCACCCAGTGCCTCAGTTGAGCCCTAGAGGTGGGAGTTTTCTGAAGTGGCCTGTTCTGAGATTTTATGCAGTTGAGTAGAAAGCAAGGTTTGCATTTCTTGGCATCTTCCAAGCAGACAAGAACCCAGAGACTTTCAGAATGCTTTCCTGGGAAGGCTGCTTAGAACCTGATCCTAAAGGCCTTCAATTCCCTCCCTCTTTCCACATCCTACACCCTCTGCTCCTTCACAATTAGTAGTATCACTTTTTTGCTAACTAGGCCACAGATGACTGGGCACTGAAACAATGGAGGTTCAACTGCGTTGTGAAAAGAGTGAGGAGCTGACTCTGTTGGGCCTCTCTTTATTTCCTCCAGGCCTGGCTTCTCACCAGGCAAGCTGGCACAACTACAGTGACACATAGCATGAGCAGGCGGAGATGGGTAGAAGGGGCAAGCGTGTCAGAAGGAAGCAAAGGCTAAGACTAATCAGAGGTTGATGGAAGAAGAAGATGGTGTCATTAGAAACTCTACAGGTCTTGGGATTGGGTTCCTCTTTCCCACCCCACTGAGGCAGTTGGTCTCTATAGCCATGTGTCAGAAGCTCGCCTGTGACAACAGAAAAGGGTCATTTTTTACCTGTGTTGACACAATAAAGTTGGTTACTTTTTCTCATGAAAGTTAGCTCTGGTGCTTTGCAGTTAGCCTAATGATTGTTTTTGTTTTCATCTTTTGCATCTGTGCATTAAATCCCAAAGCACTCCAGCTCCCATTTATTTCAACATACAATCTCCACTTACATGGAAGTAGCTACTCTGAGGGCATTACAATTAGGTCGTGTTTGCAATGATTCTGATTCATAGCGACCCCAAATGTGTCAGAGTCGAGCTATGTTCCATGGGGTTTGGGGTGGCTGTTTTTTACGAAGCAGTTTCATCAAGCCTTTCTTCAGAGGTGCTTCTGTCAAAAGCCACTAACTGTTTACTCAATCCAGTGACTCCATTGAGGTCCAAAGGG